TCTCTTTCTCTGTTCTTCCTCTTTCTCCCTTACTTCCCAGTTTTCCGGGGGCCACAGCCGACAGCCAGCAGCGGCTGTAAACTGCACTGTCATAGCTCCTGGCCTGGTCCCCGAGGAGCATGTGACCCGGGCACGCACCCACGCCTGCCACAGCCAGAGTTCTGCTCAGGGGGTGGATGCCGGGCCCGCTGCAAGGTCCTGCCAGCCTCCGGGCTCCTGGGATGGGAGCCGACTTTTCTGTTGCCTCAGGGCCTGTTTTGTAGCCCCTTCTGGCCGGCCAGCTGGTCCCTCAGTCCTTGCCCTCCCCTCAGGGGCCCCGGGCCTATGTTAAACAGCAGCGCCTGGCCGACAGGATCAGGTGTCTGTTGTGCTACACGTCCCGGGAGAGAGAGGCTTGGGGCCTAAAGATCATCTGTGGGCTACAGTGCCCAGCAGCCTTTCTGACCCCGGGCAGTCGGTGCCTGTCTGGCTGAGGGCTGCTGCCTCCCCCGGGGCGGGGGGTAAACGGGGGAAAGGCAGATCCTGGGAGAATGTAAAGAGGCCGTGTGGCCCGGTGGTCTTGATGGGGCCTCTGAGGCCTCTGAGACCAGCCCCGCACACCTTCCTCGCCCCCCTTCTCCCTCGGTGCCCCCACCCTCGCTCCACCTGTCCGCACAGGCGTGCCCTTGGACCCTCTCGCACTTGGAATGCCCATTCCCTCCTGCCGTCAGGCGGGTTCCGCGGAGCAGTGGTGTGGGGCTGAGTGGCTGGATCTCCGGTGGCCCGCTGAGTGCCCCCTCTCTGCGCAGGTCCTTGTCACCTGTCGGTCAGGAGTCATAACTGGCACCTTCCTCGTGGGGCGGCTTGGGGTGACCCGAGTAACATGCCAAGACAGTCTGAGTCAGTGCTGCCTGAGACAAGTGTTCGATAAATGTAACTATTACTATTTCTATCCTCAAGACGCAAATTAAATGCCAGGAGCCCTACTAAGAGCCAGAAGCACTGTCAGCTGCTGAGATATACCAGAGCTACCTGTCAGGAGGCACAGCCTCAAAGAGAAGGAGGGAGATG